ATTACAGTGATTTGCACGAAATCTACTCGTCATATGAAGTTTCACAAAAGACGGATAAATAAAGATCTAGCAAACGCGTCGGACAAAATGACGCAAGATCACCGAAGTTTTTGGCAGAAGCTCCATAGGAAGGATCAGTTCCTATTTAAGCCAGTTTCATTGCGCAGAGGTAATTCTGATTCTGTCAAGATCACCAAAGCAACTCCACAGAAGAGTCCAGGCGTTGAATCCGCCAGCATTAAAGCAAAACTGAAATTGAATCTGAAGAAAACTCAAGTAATCTTCAACAAATACGCGACTACGGTTTGGTGAGGCCAACGGACTTAGACTTTGAGAAGCGCAAACCACGTCTCTCTGGTACTGCTAATCGCCGCAACGGACAACTGACTATGTAAACGGTTCAGACGGAGAACGGTTCGGTTATTTCTGTCCTTCGTTTAATAGTTATGTCCGGGTCGACATATTTCGTTAATTGATCTTCTCGCGCAGACATATCAGTATTAATCGCTCTGCTGATCTCCGCTAGTTTCAATTGTGTTAAGAGCGTGTTGTTCTCAATGAACCGTTTCTGGTCCGCTAAGCATTTTTCGCTTTTATTGCTTCATGGATAGACTCTAATCAATTTTTCCATCATTTTTTTGATGGCCCATACCGCGTTTCGCAGCAATGTAATAAGTACTTATTAACTTCATTATCTCTTCCATCAACCATTGCCTTCTCTTCCGTTGCCGTTCGGTCATGTCCCCCAGTAAAGAAGGATATGAAATAGGCTCTGTTTGCCAACCAATCCCAGACTGCCTCTGCCCCCCCCCCCATAGCCTGCGCTATCGTAGGTGAAACGGTCACAGAATGTTCCTGTATAAGAATGTTTTGATTGAATTCACCATAATGTGTAGATAAAAATAGCATTGTATTCGTTTATTTTATATTGAACGCAAAAGGTGGTCAGTTAGAAGATTGGCTGATTCCGAGTTGTCAGCCAGTGTCACGTTCTTTCTTCTAGGTTAAGTTTTAGCCAAAGTTCACGTATCGCTCTAGTTGTATACAGCTGATCTTAAGTTCGGAGCCGGAGCGTAAACTTTCGATACGTGCCGTTGGTTAAGCATTTTTCGACAGCATGTTCAGTAAGGTAATTCAGTTTGTTCCAGTTGTCGTTGTTGCAGGACTGGATAATTAATGTCTCTTTGCTGCATGGTTGCTTAAATGATAGCATGGATCAAAACTCATCTCTCAGCTCCAAACTTATGATCATCTGCAGACGATCTGAACGATCTGCGAAATTTACCTTATTTTAACGTTGAAGAATGCCAGTCAGACACGTGTAAAAACGCTGTTTATCTTTAGGATATGTTTAAATTTGATTACTGATGCATGAACCAAGTATTCCATAATGGGTAGATGAGTTATTTCACTTAGTTTCACTTGTCGCTTCAGATCTATTCAGAATGAATGACCCTGACTGAAGTCAGAACTGCCACTGACGCATAAATTTGAGAGTCACTGACACATGTCCACCTCGCCATTACGTCACTTATGCGATTTCAGCGGAGCTATCTAGCATTGGTTATAATTTCTAACTATTGTTTAATTAAACATTATGTGCATGAGTAATTAATAGCACTGGTAATGACTGAAATGTGCTGTAACGTAATAATGTTTACTGTATTGCATTTCAGGACTCGTCTGACGAGGATGTGAAACAGAATGTTCACAGAAGTTTCGCCCGCTCTTTTTATGCTTTAGATAGTAATCAGTGCCGTGATGACGCTGGCTTTACGGATTGCCATGAAACAGCTGCAGTGAACCCTCTGTACGAAGCTGCGTTAAACGTTCCATATCCTCTATCAAGGAAAATGGACTACAAATGGAACTTGGCGCGGGTCGAATTACCAGAAGAAAAAAGTTTTCGTCAAGGTACTCCTATCCAAATATATCTATACACTGACCATTATTTTATTCGGCATTATGAGTATATGGTGTTCCTTGGATGTGTGATTCTCGCATGTACTACTTGTATTGAATATAAGAAGAGACCATTATGTACGGCTGTGGCAGCATGACTCAGACAGAATTTCTATTTCAATTCCTACACCAGAACTACTGTAGAATTTATGTTAACGAACTTGAATTGATTGTAAGGAAAATGAATGGTTTGTTTTTAGGTTGGCGCCGCCGTAGTTCCAAAAGTTTTGCCTTACAGCCGTTGATGCCAATATCCGTCTTCACCGGTTCCAACGCTGTGTACCGTGAGCCGTGCGAACAGATCAGCACTGAGTTTTCGCGGGAATCAGACAGCATTGAAGCTAAAGGAGCGCAGTACCTGAAAGGCAGAGGCCGTCTAAAGCGGCACACCCTGCCCTCAAACGTAGCCGACGTTTCGTTGAACAATGCTTACGTCGCATGCCCCCGCAGGAATTCGAATTCGTTCGGACAGTGGTCACAGCTGGGAAGCAGTAAACGGTTCTTCAGTCCATACCCTACTTCTGTAAGTCACGGAGTGGTCGGCGGTGATAATTTGGCCATTAACATGGCCAGTCTCCATCGACTCGAACAACTTTACACCAAAGCCCTTAAAATCGTAAGCATGACTGCGCTTTTTTCTGCATAAATCGTCAACTTCATAGATAAATGATGTATCGAAAGTATAGGCTGCTTCTGTTTCATTGTTAAAGCCTTGCGTAATCGTTCAGCGTTGTTTCTGTTTCAAAATATCTGAAATTTTCACTTCACCGTCGTGGTTATAAGACATGAGCAATCCAGTGGCTAATACTTTACTACTTGAATCAGCTCCTTCCTGTTGCAGTATTTTATTCTATCAGTAATTGAAATAAAGATGCTTTCTACGGTTACATGACAGTACTAATAGTTTTGCAGTGCGCCACTTGTCATCTGAAAGTAATCTTTTTCCCTACCCTGGTGGTAATTAAATTTGTACTGAAATTTTGAACCTGGTTGGACCAGCTTACGAAATTAACCAGGATTTTGAATGGCCAAACACGCAGAGATGTTGAGATTAACTTGACAAAGTTTCAGCGATGAAATGGAAACCTTTTAAATATTGCTGTTATGATCTCGGTTATAATTTCGCAATGACTATTTTCGTAACGCTGTAGCCCGTTTTTCTCCCCAGACAATATTACTCATTCCCTATCTCTTAATGATTAACAGTGTAAAAGTGGGTGAATGCGCTGAATTCGAACCCCGAAAAGCGCTAAACCCCTACACACCAGTAGCCTTGCCTCTTTTCAGTCGTTGTGCAGCTTTTGGCTCTTGATCGCTGAAAGGCTAATATTCTTACCTGCAGCTCTTTAACTAAGTGCGGTTTCTCAAAGTTCTCCTCATCGCCTAGCCATATTTTCTGTCGTGATAAGACAGCGTCTGGACTTGTCTGTCAGGATTTTCAGACTGCCCTTCGTCGTTACAGAATGTGAATGATGGTCTGAAATAATATCTTACTTGCTGTCTAGAAATTCGACTCCAATACCTCACCGAAGGTTTTCCAGGCATCAGGACACTATTAACACTGCTTTCGCGGATGCCCTGCGACCTTGTATTCAACTCCAGTTGAAAACTGTTGAATGCAGGCTTCTCTTTAACTGTCAGTCGTACCTCTCGTATCCACAAAGAAGTTCTTTTCTGACCTCCAGGCGCCAGCCAACCCGTTTGCCACCGCATTCGGCAACAGCTCGGTATGCCGCTCTTAAAGAGCTGTCACTCGGTTTCCACATCAGTGGTCATCGCCTGCATCTGTTCAAAACATCGTGCGATGATGTTTGCCAATTTCGTTCTCGTGTCCGCAGAAGATAATGCTTCCCATTTGACTCTCTAGTTCCTTCTGCCACCAGATCTTTGTATGGTACTCCATTTCTTGCAGCGCAACATGCCAACAACAAGGTGTTGATTTGTTGATTGCTCTGCGTCTCTTAATATGAAGATCCATTACAGAGCGTCGTAAGTTGGACGATACGATTATCAAATCAATCATCGACTTCTACCCAGAACTTCAATTATGCCAGGTATAGCTTTCATGCCCTTATTGTTGACATCGCTAGGGCTAATCCATTTCTCCAATCACGCATTTCCACTCTTCTGTCTGATTTAACATGCATTTTGAAATCGCCCATTAGAAAGATGGATTCCACTGTCGTTTTTTAATATGGAGCACCTCATATTTCTTCCAGGAAGGGCGCATTTTCCCCTGTGAATTGAGCGCATTGTTGTAAGGTCAGATATTTGCCCTGCTATAACCTCTGTCTAATGATTGTCAGTCTTGCGCTTATAGTCTTTAATTCAATGATTCTGTCAGTCGAACTGGGGTCTGCTAAAAAAACAGGAACATCCTAGACGCATGTAGTAGAAGGGACACCTGAGTTGAATTGTTTCCTTCCGCAGAGGTTCAAAATTCTAAATTCTCGGCGTTTCTTATCTGAGTGTCCAACTACATCTAGTCGATGCCTTGCAGTATTATCAGCTACACCCTCCTCTTGCCCTCATAGTTAGGAGATGTTTCCGACTGTGAGCTCCCAGCGTCGGTATGATGGTATTTGATTTTACATGCTGTAACGGCATAGCGCTCTATTCATCCTCGGTTCAGAACGGGTACCGCGTCCGTTCTTGATTAATATCTTCGGGACAGCAGTTGTCGTAGTGCTGCGCTCCAGGCTGCCAGATGGGGGCAGGTTC